GGCCCTGAAGTGAGAAAGATTTTGGCTGTTTTGAAAACAGAAAGGACACCAGTGTAGTGAGGGAATATATTCACTTCCTATTGCTACAGTAACACATTACTACAAATTTAGTGGCTTAAAACAAGACAAGTTGCCCTAGCTGGTTTGGCTCTGTGGACAGAGCGTCAGCCTACAGATTGAAAGGTCCTGGGTTCAATTCTAGTCAAGGGCACATGCCCAGGTTGCAGGCTCGATCCCCAGCAGGGGGCTTGCAGGAGGCAGCAGATCAATGATTCTCTCTCATCACTGATGTCTCTCTCTCTCTCTTTCTCCCTCTCCCTCTCATTTTCTCTCTGAAATCAATAAAAACATATTTTTTTAAAACCCCACAAATTACCACTTCACACCCATTAGGATGTCTACTATGAAAAAAAAAAAGTGTTGATAAGGATATAGTGAAATTGGCCGAAACCGGTTTGGCTCAGTGGATAGAGCGTCGGCCTGTGGACTGAAGGGTCCCAGGTTCGATTCCGATCAAGGGCATGTACCTTGGTTGCGGGCACATCCCCAGTGGGGGGTGTGCAGGAGGCAGCTGATTGATGATTCTTTCTCATTGATGTTTCTAACTCTCTATCCCTTTCACTTCCTCTGTAAAACAATCAATAAAATATATATATATATATATATATATATATATATATATATATATATATATATATATTTTAAAAGGATCTAGTTAAATTGGAATTGTGCATTGTTGGTGAGAATGTAAAATGATACAGCTGCTCAAAATATTAAAAATAAAAATATCATACGCTGAAACCAGTTTGGCTCCATGGATAGAGCATCAGCCTACAGACTGAAAGGTCCCTGGTTCGATTCCAATCAAGGGCAAGTACCTTGGTTGTGCAGGCACATCCCCGGTGGGGGGTGTGCAAGAGGCAGCTGATGGATGATTCTCTCTCATCAATGTTTCTAACTCTCTATCCCTCTCTCTTCCTCTCTGTAAAAAATCAATAAAATATGTTGATTTTTTAAAAATTAAAATAAATAAATAAATAAATAAATAAAATATCATATGATATAGCAACTTCACTTCTGGATATATACCCAAAAGAATTGAAAACTAAGTCTTAAAGGGATATTTGTGCCCCTATGTTCTCAGCAGCATTATGCACAATAGCTAAGGGGTAGAAGCAGCCCAAGTATCCATCGGCAGATGCATGGATAAACAAAATGTAATATATCCATATGATGAAGAACTACACAGCCTTAAAAAGGAAGAGACATGCTACAACATAGATGAGCCCTGAGGACATTATGCTACGTGAAATAAGCCAGTCACAAAAAGACAAAGGTTGCATGATTCTTCTTATGTGAGGCACCTAGTCAAAGTCTATGGACAGAAAGTAGAACGGCGGTTTCCAAGGGCTGGGGAGTGTGGAACTGGAAGTTATTGTTTAATGGGCATAGAGTTCCAGTTTTATAAGATGAAAAGTTACAGAAATGGGTGGTGGCGACAGTTGCACAAAATTAATGTAATTAACAGCACTTAACTGCACATTTAAAATGGTTAAGGTGGTAAATGTTATATGTATTTTACTATAATAAAAAGGACTGGAGGAAAAAAAACAACTTTATAATCTTTCGGTTCTGGGGTCAGAAGTCCAGAACGAGCTAAAATGTAGGTGTCAGCAGACCTGTTCCTTCTGGAGCTCTAGGGCAGGGCAGGGGTGGGAGCGCCCGGCCCTTGGGCTGTATAAGGTCCACAAAATTATCTGGCCCGGCCCTGCAAAGGCATTAGGGACGAGTTAATTGTTTGACCAAATATAGCAGGCTAATTTTTAAATTGATAATTTTGTATGGCCAACAAATGATGCTAGAAATATCCAAATGGCCCTTAGCAAAAAAAAGGTTCCCCACCCCTGCTACATCAGGTTCCTTGAAACCTTTTCCAGATTCTCATGGTTGCCTCATTCTTTGGCTCACAGCCCCTGCCTCCATCTTCAAAGCACATAGCCCAATAGCTCCAACCTCTGCTTCTATCGTTATCACCTTCTGGCCCTCTGACCCTCCTGTCTCCTTCAACAGACACTCAGGATTCCATTGGGCCCACTCAAATAATCCAGGATAATCTTCCCATTTCAAGATTTCTAAGTTAATCACATCTGCAAAGACCCTTTTTGCTACATTGAGGTTCTGGGGATTAGGACATGGACATCTTTGGGAGTACGGGGTGAGTGTGTGTGTGTGTGTGTGTGTGTGTGTGATTATTTCGTCTCCCATAGGGTGTGTAGAGTGGTGGAAGATGAGCTGAAGAAGGTTAGCAAGGAATTGGACATTTGGGGTTTCCTATTAATTCTAAATTGTAAAACAAGAGTACCTTCTAATTTACTTTTATAAAATAAGCATCCTTTAAAATATATATTTTATTGTTTCTAGAGAGGGAGAGAAATATCAATGATGACAGAGAATAATTAATAGGCTGCCTCCTGCATGCCCCACACTGGGAATCAAGCTCACAACGCAGGAATCCTGATCAGGAATCTAGCCATGACCTCCTGGCTCACAGGTCGGCACTCAACCACTGAGCCACGCCAACCGGAATCTAATTTACTTTTTAATAAAGTATCCAGCTGCTGGGTGAGGAACAGGTTGCAGGTAGAGATGACAGCATTTGCTGACAGATTTGAGCTAGAAATGTCCACACTGGTGTGCGCGCTCCCCGAGAAGTCACCTGCACCCCAGCCTCAAAGTCTGGCATGTGGAGAACCAGGCACTCTCCACACAGGAGGAGGATGCTCAGCAGGACTGTAAACAGAGGTGTCTCTGGGTGGCTCCTTTGAGGCTGGAAGTCTCTTTGTGGACCAAGGGCAAAGCAGATAGGATAAAAATGACCTCATAGTCCCGTGGTGCCCATCCCCAGGCCCTCCTGCTGAAGGAGCTTCTGTTTTTTCATTCCAGTTCTTCATCCCTAAGAGTCTAAGGAAGGTCTTTGAGTTTTCTAGAGGCATAACTGGAAAAAAATGAGGAGAGGAAGGCAGAATCAAAGAGAAGACAAAATCAGAGACAGGAGACCTCTGCATTCGACTTCACAGCCTTTGGCTGTGGGATATGTGTAGTCATCACAACACATTCTGCCAAACCAAATGAGATTATCCTCAACCCTCTGGTAAGTGTATCACCCCTCCATATGCATCTGTGTTTGTTTAACAGTCTTAGAACTGAAGATCCAAAAAGATTTTAAAAGGCATATAGTTCCACCTTTAACCACTCTTCAAAATCACCGGAGGGCCTCTGCTTGCACATCCAGGGAAGACCAGTATGAATCAAAGCACCTCATTCCATGGATGGCCAACCCAAACTGTCAGACAGTTCTTTCCTAAGCGTGTGTTCCATTGTGCCATTTCCACCATTCTGCCTCAGGGCTCCACTCCAGAGAAACACAGAGTCAATCTATTCCCTCTTCTCTAGCAAAGCCCATTCTGAAAGGAGTCTCTTTGTTCCCTTTTTCTCCCCTCCCCCCAACCCCCCTCCCCCCAATCCTGGTCACTGTTTGTTGGACACGCTATAGTTTTCCCACGTCTTTTTTCAGAATGTGGGTCTAGAAGTAGACCCAGAACTCCTGGAATGGCCTGACTGGCACAGAGGAATGGGACCACCACCTCCTTACTCTTTCTAAGGCTCAGACTTCAGTTCCAGAAGCCTCAGTTCCCGCACACTATTTTTTAGCTGCTCCACCACAATCCTGATTTATATCTTGCATCCTGTTGCGTAAAACCTTAATTTTTATGCCCATGTCATGAGCAGCATCAGTTTACATGTACATAGTATTCATTTAAATATGCCCCACTGCTTTATATTTATGTTTGGAAAATTATGCTTATATTTTAGTACTAAACACAAAAGACTCTCTGGTTCTCTTTCTGATGTTTAAGGAACACAGACACTGATAAAGCTATAGAGAAGGGGCAGAGTAGGGCCTGAGAATGAATCTGAATATCCAGCACAGACTGCGAAGCATTTATTTTTTTTCAGTAGTCTGTGTGGCCTCAAGTCAAATTTACAGTCGGAGGCAGGACATGAGAGGGAATAGAGGGAAAAGGGCAGAACTTGAGAGCCTAGCAAGCCCGGTTCAAATCCCAGTACTACCATGTCCCACTTGGGATCTTGGGCAAGTTGCCTCAACTTCTAGAGCATCTGTAATCAGGGAAACAATATTCCAGTGTTCTACCTTAAAAACAGCTGTTCTGTGGCAAATTTGCGTTTCTAATTTCAAGTGCTTGATTATTAAGGTGGCATATTACATTCCTAACACTTCAGTGCCTTCATAGAACCCCTCTTTAGTTTCCCGTTCCTGCCTCTCATACCAGCCAACCAGCCACGGAAGGCTACCCCAGCTGTACATTTGGCCAAATCCGGGCCATAGCATAGGTGTTCCGGTCCCCAACCTGCTCCTTAGCAGTGGGAGGACCTGAGTTCTAATCCCGTCTTTGCCATTTAACTGAATGACCCAGGACCTCCCCAGACCTCAGTTTCCTCATCCCTATAACCGGGATAAACACATGTAAGGGGGTGTATGGAGAGGGGGGGGGGGGGGAGAGAGAGAGAGAGAGAGAGAGAGAGAGAGAGAGAGAGAGAGAGAGAGAGAGAGAGAGAGAGAGATGGAGGGAAGGAGGAAAGGAGGGAGGGAGGAGGGGGGGGAGAGAGAGAGAGAGAGAGAGAGAGAGAGAGAGAGAGAGAGAGAGAGAGAGAGAGATGGAGGGAAGGAGGAAAGGAGGAAGGGAGGAAGGGAAAGGGGGGAAGGAAGGTAGGAAGGGAAAGAGGGAGAAGGGGAGGGAGGGAGGAAGGGAAAGAGGGAGAGGGCGGACGGAGGGAGGGAGGGAGGAAAGGAAAGAGGGAGAGGAGGGAGGAAGGAAGGGAATGAGGGAGAAGTGGGAGGGAGGGAGGAAGGGAAAGAGGGAGAGGGGGGAGGGAGAGAAGTGTTCTGTAAAGCACCAGGGACAATAGTCATTTGGTACCTAGAGCGGAGATGAAACACAAATCACCATTCGGAGGAAGAAGGTGCAGGCAGGACTCCCCACTGCGTATGCGTGTGGGAGGCTGGTCCACGTAACCGGATTGGGCAGCTCGAAGCGGGCGGGGCCTGGGGGAGGCGGAGCTTCCGGCCGCCTGCCCCGCGGTTGCCGGGGTGACAGCCACCGGGGGCGGAAAGAGCCAGCGGTGGCGCACTGCAGACGCGGGAGCCGCGGTGGCCATGGCGGCCTCGGAAGCCGGACGTCGAAGCTGGTGCTTGCGCATGGAGATGCCGTCCGCCACCTTCTTCACGGTGCTGATCTCGTTCCTGGTGTCCGGGCCCCGCATGCTCCTGCTCCTGGAGCAGCCGACCCTGCCGCCCTCCGGCCTGGCTCTGCGGTCCGATTACCTGCACGGCTGGCAAGGTGAGCGGGGGCGGGCTCGAGAGCCTGGTGTCAGCCCTTTTCCTCCGCCCTCGCAAGGCCCTGGGCTTTGGCCTCCCCGCACCCGCGCCATCAGGCCTTCCCTCCAGCACTCCATCCGCATCATCATCATCTTTTCCACCCGGAGGACCATTCCCACATTCCACGCCTTTGTCTCTCCGGAGCCCCCCTCCACCGTCATTGCAATCTTTCCCTATTTTCATGTGTTCCCTTCCCTGTCTCCGCTGGACTGACGGAGGCCCCCACCATTCATTCGCTAGGAAGCAGGTTTCCTTCACCCATGCGCACGATCCGAGGATTTTTCCCCACCCCCTCCCTTGTCATACGCACACACACTCAGGTCTGCTTTAGGGCCTACCTCCCTCCCACTGGAATGTCTTTTTTCTCCTCATGTCTTCATCAAGACATTACATCTTTATCTGTGGCTACCCCTGTATAAGCGAACTGGCCTGTTGAGGTTGGAATTTCTTCTGATTCTGCGTTTGTATCTAAATCCTGACTCACGATTCCCAGCTCATGGGGGGAGGGGCTAGATTTCTTTGGGGGAGAGAAATTTCCAGAGCAATGGCGTATAAACATTTGCTCGTAAAAATTTTATTCTTTTCTGGGTAGAAGGTGGGGAATGTATATGACTTGCTGTTTTGCAAAGCAATTTCACATGATTTAATCCTCTCAATTATCCCATTATTTAGGCTTTATTATTGCTCTTTAGATGAGACTGAGGCCTAATGCAGAGAAACAGAATGATAAGTCAGTTGAACCCAGGTTTTTCTTTTCATCGTGTGATGTTTTGGAAATGGAGCTTTGGGGTATATAATCCCCAAATCATATAGAGTTGCTTCTAGAAGCTTCACATTATACTTGAAGTTTTAGCTGTGGAAGTATTTGACAAATAATAATGTACCCTTCAGATAATGAAGCCCAACAAAGAGATGGCCTGGCTGAGGATTACAACCTGCCTCCCTGTTCAAATCTAAAGCTTTCCCCTACTGCTGGGATACAGAGAGGTCATAGACAGATGCAAAATGTCAGCCTAGACTGAGCTCCCCTTTTTCTTTAATTTACAGCTTCCCTGAGTGTGGAGTTCGTGGGTATATGAGTATTAGACACATAAAAGACCTCTGAAGGCCTCAAGTATAATCTGTTACTTCACAATGAGGAAATAAGCCAAGAGGGAGGCCCAGGGACTTGACTAAGTTCAGCCTTCCCTTACATAATAGAACCAAGATTCCACTCCAGGTCTTTAGGCTCCAAGGCCAGTAGTACTGTCACTTCACCAGTCCCCCTTCTTCAGTTTAATGTTTTGGCCTACAAGGATAAAAGTACGTAAGACATGTCTGCTTTTAGAAAAGTTAAATAATTTGTTGTCTTATTGCACATAAAGTATCACTCTACCTGTAGGATTGGGTAAGCAAGACTTCTCAGTTTTACACCTATATTATTAGTGATAATTTTATATTTAGACTAGAGGCCCAGTGCACAAAATTCATGAACGGGGGTGGGGAGGGGAGGTCCCTCAGCCCGGCCTGCAATGATGCCAGCATCCCACACCCCGGCTGGCCTCACCAGAGGCCCGCCCACCCTCCTTCTGTGGGCCAGGGTACACAGGATGCTGGGGCTCATGGTCCGGGCAACACCACCAGCCACTATGGGCGCTGCCATCTTTGTGACAGAGTGATGGTTAATTTGCATATTAGCCTTTTACTATATATGATTATAGTGATCTTTATAGATACAAAATAATTCATGGTCCCTTTTTTCTTCCTCTGAACAGCCACTATGGAAGGAGAGGTCAGGATTACAGCCGAGGAGACTGGCATACAGAGTGTTAAGGGACACCCACTCAATCCACCCTGAAGCTGTTACAATTAATTAACCCTCAAACTGCCTGGTGAGATAGGTCAGTATTAAAACCTAAAAAGGGGCATAAAGCAAATTACAAATTCAAAGACCATTTTGTGCTAAAAGTGTTTTTGTTTTTTTTTCCCACATGGAAATCAGTCACTGATAAGACTTATTCCAGTTGTGGGAAAGAACAGGGATTTAGACATTTATGCCTCTATTTTGGGTTCTGATCATTGTTGCTTCCTATTGCTTATCTTGGCTCCTGGCGGATTTTCACTGGTTCTCGGTGCTCTATTTTAGGAGCTATTCCCCCTTTTCTAGGTGGGTTGTAACCTGTCTTTCCCACCTTGGAGCAACCCATTGTCAGGCCTCTAACTCAACTCCCTCTACAGTTTACAGGCTGGTGACCTACATCTTTGTCTATGAGAATCCAGTTTCCCTGCTCTGTGGTGCTGTCATCATCTGGCGCTTTGCTGGCAACTTTGAGAGAACCGTGGGCACCGTCCGCCACTGCTTCTTCACCGTGCTCTTCGCCTTCATCTCTGCTATGATCTACTTGTCATTTGAGACCATGTCATCGCTGTTGAGGTTGGGGGAATTGGAGCCTGCCAGAGGTTTCACCCCAGTGGCCTTTGCCATGCTGGGAGTCAGTGTTGTCCACTCCCGGCTGAGGAGGGCCCTGGTATTCGGCGTGGTTGTACCCTCAATACTGGTGCCATGGCTCCTGGTGTGTGCCTCCTGGCTCATTCCTCAGACCTCTTTTCTCATTAACGTCTGTGGACTTGCAGTTGGGCTAGCATGTATCCTTCCTAGAAGGGAATGATAGAACGTTGACATCCCAAACAGTAAACCAAGTTGAAGAGTCTAGAAGGGTCATGTAGGTAGAGCCATGGCGTCAGATATAGGTAACCTGGGTTAAAGCTTTCAGCTTTGAAAACCTCACGGTCTTGGGTAGATCTGTTGCTTCCCTCTTCTAAGCTGGAATTTCCTCTGGAAAATATCAATATAGCTCTCTTTTCATGCCAGCTTAGTGTTTCCAGTTAGTAAAATATTGATTTAGCCCTGGCCGGTGTGGCTCCATGGTTAGAACATTGGCCCATGTACCAAAGGGTCTTGGGTTTGAGTTCGGTCAAGGGCACGTACCTAAGTTGCAGGTTCAGTTCCGCTCTGGTTGTGGCCAAGTGCAGGAGGCAACTAATCAATGTGTCTCTCTCATTGATGTTTCACTCTCCCTTTCTCTCCTTCCCTTCCACTCTCCCTAAAAAATCAATTGAAAAAATATCCTTGCCCTAAAATCTTCGTTGTCTGATACTAATCATTATTCCAACTTTCTACTTTCTTAAAATTGGGATTTACATGAAGCAAATCAATTTGCATTGAAGCTTGACCAGAAGTATATATATACACACACATATTTAATATATTTTATTGATTTTTACAGAGAGGGATAGAGAGTTAGAAACATCAATAAGAGAGAAACATCAATTAGCTGCCTCTGCACGCTTCCTTCTGGGAATGTGCCTGTAACCAAGGTACATGCCCTTGACCAGAATTGAGCATGGGACCTTTCAGTGTGCAGGCTGATGTTCTATCCACTGAGCCAAGCCAGTTAGGGCTCGTCCTTATATTTTTAATGTTTTTATATGCAAAGCTTGTTTCCTGTGGATAGCATATATTGCTTCTCCAATCCTTGCTTTTATTTTTTATTTTTATTTTTTAATACATTTTTATTGATTTTAGAGAAGAAGAGAGAGATAGAAACATCAATGTGAGAGCAAAACATTGATTGACTACCTCCTGCACAATTTCCACTGGGGATTGAGTCCGCATCCTGGGCATGTGCCTTGACTGGGAATTGAACCTGCAACCCCTCCATGCCTAGGATGATGCCCAACAAACTGACCCACACCGGCCAGGGCTCTGCCCTCTCCTTTTGCTGGACCTTGTTCCCTCTGAGGTATAGGGGATGGAAACTTAAATTTTGTTTTCCCCTGAGCTTGAAAAACCAATCAGAGTTTATGGTGGACTAATGCCCCTGTATATTAAATGTGGGAATCTGTATTCTTCTCTGGGGAATGTTCGGCACTCCTCTCTTTAGCTGCCTCCAATTTTCCTTAATATGCCAACATCAGATAGCCTCACATACTGCTGTCCCGTTGACATCTCAGAGAGAAAGGCATTGAAGCTTGACAAGGAGTTCCCTTTCTACCTTATGAGGAAAATTACGACATTCAAATACATCTCAAGTTCGTCGGCCGAAAGAAGGGCAGCCCAGAACCGGAAGTAAGTTACAGAATTCTTAAATCTTATTAAAGCAATTCCAGGGCCTGTAGATGGTGTGACTAGTTCAGTGTCACAGGAAAAAAGGAACAGGATGTGAGTCGCCCTGGGCCCAGAAAATCTATGCACAGATGTCTTCTGAGCACTCTTGATTCTGGCCATCTGCATCTGAAGTAGGAAGTGAGCAGGAATGGGAAGGGGGAAGGCATTCGAAGCACTTGTGAGTGAGTGACAGCCAGCTTGAGGGAGTGGTCCTACACAGTGTTATTACCAGCCCTCAGCACTGACAAGCACTCTACAGATTGGATTGGGCTCTAGCATGGCATACTGGTAAGAAGCACAGACAGGCCACACAGCTCACTTGGGGGCTTAGTAGGTAGCACCCCCCAAGACATGAGAGATCAGGTATTCTTGGCCACCCAGCAAGAGAAGGTGAAGTTTACTCTTTCTAGTCCAGACTCATTAACTCAGTGAATGGTGGAAGCGAACCGGCAGAGCTCTCGTAGCCTCATTGCTCCCTTTTAGAGAGGAGGCCCGAAGAGGGAGAGTCTTTCTCCATGTAACAGGCAGGAGAGCTCAGTCTAGAGCTAGGGTCCCCTGCTTCCAGGTCTTCCTTACTCCCTTTCCGCTGTGCCACTCTGTCAGCCTCTTGTCCTCCTCGGGTTCCTGTCCATCCTCAGATGACATGGTTCCTCCAAAAGTAAGTGCCCACTGTGAAGTCAGGATGCCAGTGGCCCCTTTTTGCCTTCGGCCATCTGTGAGGTAGATTTTGTCCTCTGTGACTGCCTGGATATGGGGTTTGGGATAAATGGGAGGCTGCTTTTATTTCAGGAGGTGGACATTCTCAGCCTTCACAGGCTCAGAGCCCTTTGGCCATTTTTTCAAAAGCACATATTTGGGGAGGTGGATAATTGCAAAAATAAAAACTGCGCATTCACCGACTTTGCTCCAGACAAGTAATTCCTGAGGCCGAACTGTGTGGGAGACTGCTTAATATAAAATGAGGTGAATTGTGGCTTTTGGACTTTTAATTGTTCTCATGGAGTCTAGAGAGGACTTAAGGGTCCTGGAATACAATTTCCCACTCTGTGAAAGAGTCCCCTCTGAAACAGCTGGCTGTGGTCAAGGTCACCCAATCTTAACGCACACCCCCTAGTGGCTGGGAGCTCACTCCAAGGCAGCCCCTGATGAGAAAGTTCTTCATGTTGAATTGCAGTCACCTCTCTATAACTGTAACTCACTGTGCCAGTTGTGATCCTGCTTCACCGTGACATTCAGATCTGGGTGGGGACATGGTAACTTTTTCAGTTCCTTCCATGTTTGGTCCCTCATTATCCTGGCCTGCTATAGGTACCCAGAACAGGACACAGTGTGAGATGGTCTGATAAGGCACACGGGCAATATTACACTATGTGTTTGGACAGTTGACATGGCTGTCTAGACAGCTTTGCCTCCCTAGAGGCTCTTTTCTGGTAGGCCAAAACCTCTACATTTTAAAATGTCCTGGAAGTCCTATTAAGTACTTGTAGGTTTGATTTGTAAGGTCAGGTTTTAATTACAATCTACACAGGTTTAGTCCCATTACCTAACAGACATCAATGGTATTGGCATTCGTTCTCCATATTTGGAACTTCACACAAAAGTTCAGAGGATAAAACTTAGGCTGTGCCTCCATTCGCAGGCTCAGCCACAGTGTTTATTTTGGGGTCTTAAGCCTCAGCACAGATAAGCTCCCCACACCTGTCGCTTTGGTTTCAGCCAGCCAGTACTGAGCTGTGAGTGAGTGAGTGTTCCTGAAATCGCAGGTAGAAAATCTCACAGCAGACCAGGCCTGCGCCCAAGCCCTTTGTTACCCCATTAGAGCCTTCTACCCTTCTTCCCACAGGAATGGATCCTTTCTCTTTGGGTAGAATTGCTGAGCCAGCCGCTGATTACTGTGATCTGGTCCCCATCTCCACCCAGTTTGCAAATTGTTGCAAGTAGGTTACACTCGGGTGGTCTCACTCATGAGCCCAATAGCCCTTCCTCCTGCTGGCTTGCTGCAGGACCATGAGTGGGACCTTCCCTCTCTGGGCATCTGTTTTCTGTTTGGTTGAGTTTAATCTTTCTCCCTGGTTAGTACTTAAGAATCCGTTACAGCAGTGTCCAAAGCACATTGTAATATGAAGTAGCACAGTGACCCCAAGCTTTTCTCTTGTGGAGTGACAGCTGAGGATGCTGTGTGCCTTGGCATTTCTAGCTGAATGACCATTTTTTCTCTTGTTCCATTCCAGGCTGAACCCTGTGCCCGGCTCCTACCCAACACAAAGAAGCTGCCCTCACATGTTCCCAGTCCCCCTTGTTGCCCATTTGCAGCGTGCCAATGGCCAGAAACTAGCTTCCTGGCCAGCCTGTGCTCGTGGGCACATACCCAGGCTGCCTCCCTACCAGCCTGCCTCCGGCCTGTGTTACGTGCAGAACCATTTTGGCACAGCCCCTAACTCCTGTGTCTACCCAGGTTCTGTAGCAGTCTCCTTAGGGGTCCAGCCCCTCATTCCCCTCAACTGCCCTGCCACTAAATATCCCAGGGCCCTGCCCACTCCAGAGCCTACAAAGTCCAAGGAATGCTCAAGGGTTCTGATTGCTTGATGGGAAATTTTAGGGAAATTATCTTACATCTGATCTTCTGAAGAAGATCCTCCTGAACTAAGGTTTTCTTGACAAAAAAAAAAATATTTATTAAGCACCTCTGTGCCAGGCTCTGTGTTGTGAGTACTTTGCTATATGTCCTTATTTCATTTTTTTAAATATATTTTTATTTATTTCAGAGAAGAAGGGTGACGGGGGGGGGGGGGAGAAAGAGAGAGAGAAACATCAATGATGAGAGAGAATCATTGATTGGCTGCCTCCTGCACACCCCCTTCTGGGGATCAAACCCACAACCCAGGCATGTGCCCTTGACTAAAATTGAGCCTGGGACCCTTCAGTCCGCAGGCCAATGCTCTATCCACTGAACCAAACAAGTTAGGCCCTTATTTCATTTTCATGACAACTTTGTGAAGCATAGTTTATTGTCCCCATTTTGTAGCTGCAGAAGCAAGACTGATTACATGACGACACCTAGCTCTGTAGTGGCACAACTGGGCTCCTTGGTTGTCAGTAGCCACCAGTGGTCAGTTCCAATTTTGCAATTCCTTCTTGTCACTGTGTATAGTACTCTTGACTGTATAGTGTCTGTGTTTGTCCTTTGGGACCTCCCAGCTGGTGTGCTCGGCAATCCGCAGGCATATGTAGTGTTTTTCCCCTGCAGTGACTGCTCACTCCCCGCTCCTTAAGACTTCTGCCCTAGAAGTGGTGAGAAGGACCAGTGTGAACCGCAGCAGCATGCTGGTGGATACGTAGTGTGGATTACCTTTGTGTAAATAAACAGCCTCTAACCTGGTTTGTGGTCTGTGTGATCTGGCTGGGGAATATGGAGAGCAGGATTTGGGCAGGGATGATGGTGGGGTGTGACAGTGAAGTGGAAAGATCTAGCAGAGGTCAAGTCAGGCAAATGGCCTCCCACCCGATGGGGATCTGATATGGGAAATGAGCTGCAAAGGTGCTTGGAGAACTAAAAGGGCAGACAGGAAGGTTTGGCAACCTTGAGATTGGCGACAGCAGGAAGCCATTACTCTAAGGGAGGAGAGGGTGTTACCAGAGCCAGAAGTGGGACCACAAGAAGGACTCCCTGGCAAGACCTTATACTAAGGAGTGGGTGATACGGGCACTGGCAGTGATGGCATCTGAAGCAAGAGCCCTCACTTCTCCACCTGTCCTCTAGCATCAGGGTCTCCCATGGGCCAAATTAACCAGGAACCTTTTGGCAAGTGAGCCCAGGAAATGTAGTTTTGGGTGGAGGGGCTCCTTTGAAGCAGAACAGGACAGGTTGTGAGCCTGAGGGGAGCGCATGGCTTCTATAAGCCATCAGCCGGAGCTCCTCGCAGCGGGCTCACATTGAGAACGCATGCCAAGTTGCAGGTGTTTTCACGAATATCCTAACACATGACTTGTTAATTCCAGGAGCCAGATGGCCTACTCTGGGCTGGCTCCTTGACACATTCTTGGTATTAGAGGCAATAAGACACCTATAGATCCACCCAGTCCAGATGAGAGCAGACAGTGACAGGCACCTACTCTAGACAAGGGGGTGGGGGATGAAGCGCAGAGGATGACTCCCCAGGGGGATTGTGAAGTAGGGACGCTAGCCGAGAAATTGGGTGCCCAGACTACAGCTGGGATTTGTCTGCAGTCACAGAGCAGGTCTGGCAGGGCCTGGCTGGGACCTGTCTCCAACCGGATCTGGCACCTTTCCCATGGTGTCATTCAGTGAACACAGGCTGCTATGTGTTCCTTAAACATTCTCCCTCCACCCCAGTCCCAGGCCTGGACCCAGAAGTAGATGAGAGGGCACCTGCTCCCAGTGCGGCAGGGTGGCATCCCTCGTGTCTGCCTTCCTGTGTGGACTGTGCTGTGGAACTGCGGAAGCCATGGGCCTTGGGATCACCAGTGGTTAATTCCATTTCCTGGTCTGGCTGGGGCCTTCTCACAGGTCCCCAAGTAACAGACTTGTGAGGGTCCTCAGAGGTCCTAGAGTCCAACCGTCTCCTCTGCCCTGGTTTTACTAGTGGAGTTCCAAGGAGGCAGGCTGGTGCTGGCAGTGCAGCCAGCAGCAGCCCCTGACTTGGGCCCCTGCCACACTGCTGTGAGACTGGTTCTTAGTCTGTTCCTCTGGGCTTCCATTGGTCTGGCCACAGCTAACAGCAGGAAGCCTGGACCGAGGTCAGAGGGGCCATTTCTCCCCTCAACATACATTTTAGAGGACTCAGAGGGGATCCAAAGCCCCTCCCCATTTTCCAGTGTGTCCCATGTCTGAAAACAGAGTGTCTGCCAATCCTCAAGTCAGAGCTAAAGATTGAGATGAAAGTCCAAATCCACCCAGGTCAGAGATCATAGAACCCCCAACACGAGGCTGATGCTCAATAAATATTTGTTGAACAAATGAACAGGTGATCCCTGCCTTTGGGGGTAACTCAGGCCAGGTGTGAGGGGAGGGACAGGGAATGGATAAACAAAGAATTGTAATCCAGCCATACTTTCCAGATGCTCAGAAGGCCCCCTGACCAGCCTGGAAAGCTGGGAATCAGATTTGCAGCTCACACCCTTCCATGGAGAGTGGGCTTTGGAGGGAGGGAAGGACAGCACCAACCATGTCCTCTGGCTGTTGTTAGGAGAATGAAGAATACAGCACATTCAGCATAAAGGAGAGCCATTATTCCCTGCACTCCGAAAAATGTCTTTCCTATCCCCAAGGCAGGGCAGGACACCGCAGCCAGAGAAACTTGTAGCAGTTTCTTTTCTTCAGCAGCAGGAGGCAGCAGAGAAGCGGGATTGCACTATGACAGCCCTCCATGAACCTCCCCTGGGGCCTGCTATGCTCCTCAGCCCTGGAGGTAAGGGAGGAAAACAGCTGGCTCCTAGGACAGTGAAAGGGCACGTAATGAGCATTCTGCAAGGGTTCCTTCCTTTCTCCCCTCTATCTTTTTTCTTTTAACACATACTTTGTGAGCAACTACCGAGTTCCAGGCCTGTCTTGAGCTTTGGGAACATAAAGATGGAAAAGATTCAGCCTTGCCTTCCATGCACTCCTAGTTCATTAAGGGAGACATGCTGTGGGGAGTTAATCTGAGAGGAGCCTACCTGGGAGAGTCAGAGAAGAGACTTCTGGGAGGAGGAGAGTTAACCAGGCAAGGGAGGGACCAGGAGGACAGAGGGTGACCCTGTGAGCAAAGACAGGAAGGTGCGGTCCAGTAGGTGAGGCAGAGAACTGGAGCACAGAGGCTGAGGGGCCGACAGGAAATTGACGGTTGCAGTAGCCCAAGATGGAAATGAGGAGAACCTGGCCTGAGGCCCTGGCCAGTGGGGTTGGATAGACAGAAACAAAGCCTAGATAGAGCACAAATGACTTTCTGGAGCCACAAGGAGAGTGTGGCCAAGCTGAGAGTGTACCAGTGTACATACACATAGCGTTCCCACTTGAAGTTCAGTGCTCCTGTCCTGCCTGAAGGTGCCTGCTTGTTCACGGTGTGTGTGTGTGTGTGTGTGTGTGTGTGTGTGTGTGTGTAGCATCCAGAGTAGGGTTGGAAGTAGGACAATCCAGTAAGATGAAGTTTCCCCAAGCACAGAATGGGGGAGGGAAGAGAAGGGGAGCTGACCATCAGAGTAGGTGCTGGACCCTTGGGCTCCTGAATCTCACAGGGGGACCACCCCAACCTCTATCCCAGGTTGCTTCCTGGGCTCTAACCTCCATGCCTAGACAGTTGTTAGCTGTAAGAGCAGCACCCTAATCTGGACCTGAAGCTTGGGGCCATCTTCAGATCACAAGTCGTCTGGAACCCTGCTCCATGGTTCCGGTTTGTACCTAGATCTGCTCCCCCAGAAAAATCTCCAAAGAGTTGCCTGCCCAACTGTGCCCCTGAGCCATGACCAACTCACATCCTAAAGCTGCCAGCTTAATGGAACTCCTCCTCCTGGGGGCCTAGCTGCAGCCCCCAGGCACCAATGGCCAGGCAGGCTGCCCACTGAGGTGGCTCTGGACAGCTCGGGCCTTCCCAATGTCCAAGGCAGTTGGAACCATGCAGTCCCCAGGCCCCCCAAACCCCCCCCCCCCCCCCCCCCCCGCTGACGCTGACACACACCCTACACAGGCATAAACACACATTTTGAGCTCACAAATCTGGGGCCTCATCCATATATTAAGTTCAAACAGGTAGATATGCACCCACAAAAATGCACATGTATGTGGTTAAGGCACATACCTACACGTATTCATACCTATCCATGCACAAAATCATGCATAAGTTGATCTGTGCACAAGTACACGCTGTACCTGCATGCATGTATACATGTTACTTCACAGAGCAAAGCAAGCACTCCCTCTCCCTCCACCTTGTCCAGCATGATTTTAGTCTACCTCCCCAATCTTGTCCCCACCACCTTCCTGTCTTTCCCCAAACACACCATGCTACAGGCACTGTGTGAGATAACCAGACAGCTGACAGGACACCTCTGGAAAGGCTCACTTCACGAGCAGGTGTGACCATTTGTGGCCCATAATGAGCAGGACAACTGGAAAGTCCTCTAAACCTCCCATTCCATTTGCCCATCATACCCTTCCTGGAATTGCATCATCAGGAGCCATTGCTATGAATTAGGCTCATCAAACATTGAGGGAACTCTGTAAAAGATCCTGAGTCCAGCCCTCACACTGCATTCAGGATAGGGAGGCCCAGAGAGAGGAAGTTATTGGCTAAGGACGCACAGTGAATCTGTAACAGAGCCAGCAGAGAACTCAGGTCTCCTGACTTGTTTTTGCTCCCTCCACCGCTCTGGTCATTAGATGGAGGAGTGAGCTGATGAACAGCTAAGATTGCAAGCAGGTAGGGACTCTCATGTGAGCCAGCTGAGCTCACTTGGGGGTGCTGACTCCAGGAGGTCAGGTATAGACACTGGGTCCCAGTGTTCAGGAGTTATCCTGAGGCCCTCTGCTAACAGACTCTTCTGTGGGGGTCCGGGGGCGGGGGGTTGGCATGTGGGAGCACTCCAAACATTTCCAGGATGGCTGGGAACTCTGGAAGAGAGACCGGGAGCTTGGGTAAGAGCAGGTGAGACCTTTCCCATCAGGCTCTGTAGGCAGGACACACAGAACCAACCCCATCTGCACCCTGGGATCTCCCTGGGCAGAGGAGAGCAGAAAGGAGTCCCCTACCCCAGGCTG